TCTAGAATTACTCACACATCACATTTCAGTATACATTTGTTTCCTTCTATTTTGCAGAGCAGCGGTTGCCTGCATAGGATGTACACCTACAATATGACTTGTGTGCTGAATTAAACTGATACTCTCTCAGACTTGCAACTGAATTTAATTTCTTTTTGTGTTGATACAGGGGATTCGTCCCGAACCCACGGATGAACTCGTGGTACGAAAGCCAAAGGCGCTAGGACGCAGTAGTGACAAATCTACTCTGTATCGCGCTTACGCTGGTAAGTTTTAAATTTCGGTAATTTACTTATAGACTTTTATCACGGCAGAATTGATTACTGGAAGTGCTCGTCGAAGCAGTGTATCGATTCTTCCGGTTATGTATTTTCAATGTGCTTTTGTTAACATCTAGTTGAATAAACGCCTCTGAAAATGTCCAGATTTGTAAATCATCCTGCGGGTGTTCATTTTAAGAGACAGGAGAAGAGATATTTTGATGATTACTGTGTACATGATGTTTCAAACTCAAAGGAACTTGTAGGTTTTTAATCTAGTCAAGTCAAGTCAAATATATTTATATAGCGCTTTTCACAATACAGATTGTATCAAAGCTGCTTCACAGTATCAACCAAAACAACTTAACAGTGTTTGTTTATTACTGGAAAAGACATTCAAGTTTGGTAGAGCTGATCAGTGGTATGATGGGTCATTTATTTTGAATATCCCCAACTGAGCAAGCCAAAGGCAACAGTGGCAAGGAACCGAAAAACTCCATCAAGTGACCCGATAATCTAACATAAGCCATGGCTCTTAAACATGTGTGAAAATTTCACCCCACGTCAGTGCTCGTCTAAATAGTGACCACAACGCTGCAGTGTGTGAGCACTGATGAATAAGATCAAAATTAATAAATTTTTTTATTTGTATTAAATATTTTAGTCATTTTTCATTTCACTGTATGTAATTACACGTTTATTCCAAAATTCGTCGCACTGTTAGCCTGTTAAGATGAATTCAATTTGTAGGATCGTTACATTTCTTTACGGCAGTTTAAGACATTAATTCATCTATTTTCATACTGCTCTTACGATAATAGACCATGGTTTTACTACAAATAAAATGCAAAATAAAAAAACGTTAATAGTTAAATCATGGTCACCAAAAATCAGCCATATTTTAACCATGTTTATCAGAAAAGAATTGGTAAAATTCAGTTTAGGATTGTAAATTCAGTATGAAATATGATCAGTAAGAGAAAAACGCTGTTAATGAGAAGACGAGCACTGGACTTCGTCAGGTTAGTTTGGAAATAAATGTATGTATTAATCAGAATGCGCATTTGAAAGGGAAATATATTTACAGGAGGAACATTTCAACTAGTTGAAGATATAATGTAAACATCCTTAGCGCCGCGTCTAGCACAACTCGAGGTATCGCACACCAGATGTGTACTTTCTCAGTTTATGGCCAGCAATATTGTTGTTTAAGCACATTATGGAATTAAGATAATGTCTGTACTATGTTATGATTAAACCTGAATCCGATTATTCATTATTATTACTATTGCTGAAAGTCCGGTAACATCAGCAATTTTTAAATGAGAACATGCAGTTAGTTCTTTATATCAGATTAGCTACACTGTCGCTTGTAAATCATTGCCAGTTATTAACTGATAAATGGTTTCTGTTACTTGTGTTTTTAGGACCCCTTCCTGACCCGACGGTGCTGTCAGTTGGAGCCCAACTACGCAACCATCAGCCACAACCTGGCATTTGCAAAATCTTATATGGCCTCTCTGACCTGACTTTACTGGACTCTAAATTTGGACTAGTCCCTCGCGGTTCAGTTCTTTCTTATCAGTGCACACCAGTAATACCCCGAGAAATCATTAAGCATCCAGAAGCTCCCTCATTCCCACTTCCATTAATTAGTGGCTTAACATTAGAATGGCATCTACATTTTATTCCCAATTGTCATCAGTTTTATCACATACAGAGTTTAGAACTAACCCGTGAATGTGCAAGTATCATCGAAGAGAATACAAGGGGGCAGTCGGAGAATCCTTTGTGGAAGGAAGTCCGACAGCCCCGCCTAACTTCCAGTAGATTCGGCGAAGTTTGTTGCGTTAGAGGGGAGTCATTTAGTCAGGCTCTGGCAGCCAGGATCATAAAGGGGGTGAGGCAAACACCTGCCATGAAAAGGTGTATTGACCTTGAGCCAGAAGTTTTGCAAAAGTACAGTGACCGTTGCAATGTCAGTGTCGCTCCTTCTGGATTCGTTGTGAATCCTGATGCGCCTTACCTCGGTGCTAGCCCTGATGCCAAAGTGTATGATCCCACTGCAAATCCACCCTTTGGGTTAGCTGAAGTGAAATGCCCAGATGTTAACAGTATAAATCACAAGTATTTCTGGCAAGTGCAAGGCCAGTTAGCCATAACTGGTTTAAAATGGTGTGATTTCATTACATCCACACAAAGTGACCTCACAGTAGAGCAAATTTGGCTCGACGAGTCGCTGATCAGTGAAATGAAAGGTAAACTTGATATATTTTATTTTGCCACATATATGGAAACGTACCTGAAATTAAAGTAAATCTATACATCCCCCCCACCAAACACACACATACAAACAAATGGGATCTCTTTCTGATTTTATTTATGGAACTGACATACCTACTCTCTAATCATCACCACCACCACATGCATGTGCGCACGTACGCACACACAACACACACACACGCAAATGTTCCCACACACTTGTACTTAATCCATTAATTAATTGTTTTAATTGTAAATTAAATGTATGTAAATATAAATGTAATATGAGTGTCTGATTTTTTTTAGTGTATAAATGTTATGTTATTGTATTAATTTTCACATTTTTTAATTTTTTTTAATAATAGATGTATATATGTCATGCTATATATATAAAACACATATATATATATATATATATATATATATATATATATATATATATATATATATATATATATATATATATATGTATATATATATATATTAGGGCTGTCAAATGATTAATCATGATTAATCACATCCAAAATAAAAGTTTTTTTTACATAATATATGTGGGTGCACTGTGTATAATTATTTTATATATATATAAATACACACACATGCTTGTATATATTTAAGAAATATTTTCATGTATATGCTGTATATAGATTTATATATTATTTATATTATATATAAATATTTTATATATAAGAATATTTTTTTCTTACATATACATGCATGTGTGTGTATTTATATATATACAAAATAATTATACACAGTGCACCCACATATATTATGTAAAAAAAACTTTTATTTTGGATGTGATTAATCATGATTAATCATTTGACAGCCCTAATATATATATATATATATATATATAAATAATAAATGCTGTGTCATGTTTTAATGCAATAAAATGAAACCAAACAAATCTGAATCATTAATCTTATGCCTATAGCAGAGTCGCTATTCTGAAACTCTTCCACTAACGTTACTTCAAAACGCGCATTAACCCGATCGAAAACTGACTGGCGAAGCACACGAGTCTCCCTCCAGCTGTTCCATGAAAATCGGCTTGGTGTAGTACTGGATTTTAGTCTCCTCTGCCCACTTATCGAGACGTAAATGCTTTTCCTCGTCAAAGTGCAAGCTGCACACAAACGTACTACCCCGACTTCTATGGAACGAAGGACCTTCGTCCCTCCTTATCAATCTCACCCAAGCCTTGCGGAGGTGTTCGTCTTTTGGGAAGTCATGGAAGCTAAGGCATGGCTGTCTTTGTTTTGATGTTGAACAACCCGGTACACTGCAATAGCACCGGCGAGAGGAGGCAGCCATAGTTTATCCGGTAACTAAGTAACCACCGGAAGTGCGAGTACACTGCTTGGCGATTTCGGACGTTCCAAACCAGGAAATGCGATAAAGGCCTCACAGGACTAAACCAAAATCACAAAGACAGGGGGAAACCAGATCACAAAACAGACCTTAAACACATAGAAACGTGACAATTCAAGTACTTTACATGTGCTTTAGTGTGTTAGTCGACATATACGTACTTTAAAGCACGATTATTGAATTACAACAGATTATTAAAATACGATTCAAAATGTACTTTAAAGTAAAGCCTTTCATTTGACATTATTCAGAGATAACTTTTTGTATGGAAGTGTGTTAATAAAGAGTTTATGTTTTAAGTAGTTTATTGACTACTTGTATATTTAATTGACTATAAACATATTTGAAGCTGTACCGTAACTGTCATTCAATATGAAAATAAATTTTGATTTGGTTAACTATGTATAAATGTGCTCTTAATATGGTCTTAATAATTGTAGAGGTCTCATCTCGTGCGCTTTCTTTTCCAGGCGCAGCTGCATAGTAAACATTCCTGAGGTATTTAAAGTAAAATTAAAAAATGACAGCGCTCAGCTGCTTCTCAACACTTTTAATTTGTTTACAAATTCATACAATAGACTATAGAAATGTAACATTCATCACCCTAACCATTCATAAATACTCTAGTTTGTATAATAATAACAATATTTATGAATACTCAAATGCATACGTAAACCCAGAGCCCTTTAAAATCTCTTCCAACGGCTCTGCTCTGTGACTGGTGACGCGATGCGCAATGACAGTTGGGTGATATGTGTGTGTGTGTCTGTGTGTGTGTGTGCATGTGTGAGTGAGTGAGTGAGTGAGTGAGTGTGTGAGAGTGTATGTGTGTGTTAGAGGTCGTAACGGAGAAACAGTTGTCATTATGGGGGCGACACATTAACACACACACCACCTGCTGCAGTTTACGGGAAACAAACACTGCCTCTGAAATGGCCTCATTAGCACTACAGCACTGCCGGTCTTCAACTCCTCTCTGAGGATATATAAAGTAGAAAAGTGTGTGTGTGTGTGTGTGTGTGTGTGTGTGTGTGTGTGTGTGTGTGTGTGTGTGTGTGTGTGTGTGTGTGTGTGTGTGAATGTTTAACCTGCCATTAGTCGCACCTGTTCTCCATGTCGGCGCTGCACTTGGGTGACAGAAGCTCAAAGGACTTGGTGAACTTCACCACCTGCAGGAGACATTACAGTGAGCAGGATTAGAGAGATGCAGAAGCCAGGAGAGGAAGAGGAAGAGGAGGAGGAGAGGGAGGAGGAAGAGGAAGATGAAGAGGAGGAGGAAGAGTAAAAGGAGGTAGAGGAAGAAGAAGAGGAGGAGGAGGAGGAAGAGGAAGAGGAAAAGGAAGAGGAAAAGGAGGAAGATGAAGAGGAGGATGAATAGGAAGAGGAGGAGGAAGAGAAAGATGAGGGATCAGAGCGTACCGGAGACTCGATGTCCTCCAGCAGCTGGACGGAGCAGCGTTCACACTTCAGCAGAGTCTGAGCTCGATGCATGATCTTCCTCACGATCTTCTCCAAATCCGTCTGCTCCTCGAACAAATCGTTCACAACCTCCAGAAGAGCCTACACACATAGACACGCACAGAGAAATACAGAACATAGCTGGTATAGTTGAAGTATATGAATGCAAATATTTCTAGCTATGCAACAAGCTAGAAGTGCATTTCATGCATCATTACATACAAGAGGAAGATGAAGATGAAGAGAAAGATGAGGAAGATGAAGAGGAGGAGGAAGAGTCAAAGGAATAGGAAGATGAAGAGGATGAGGAAAAGGAAGATGAAGAAGATGAAGATTTGAGTTTAAGAGTACATAGACTCGGGTCCCGCGTTCACTACTGCGCAGAATCGGGTCCCGGGTTCACAACAGCGCAGACTCGGGTCTCACGTTCACTACTGCGCAGACTCGGGTCTCACGTTCACTACTGCGCAGAATCGGGTCTCACGTTCACTACTGCGCAGACTCGGGTCTCACGTTCACTACTGCGCAGAATCGGGTCTCACGTTCACTACTGCGCAGACTCGGGTCTCACGTTCACTACTGCGCAGAATCGGGTCTCACGTTCACTACTGTGCAGACTCGGGTCTCACGTTCACTACTGCGCAGAATCGGGTCCCGGGTTCACAACAGCGCAGAATCGGGTCTCACGTTCACTACTGCGCAGACTCGGGTCTCACGTTCACTACTGCGCAGAATCGGGTCTCACGTTCACTACTGCGCAGACTCGGGTCTCACGTTCACTACTGCGCAGAATCGGGTCTCACGTTCACTACTGCGCAGACTCGGGTCTCACGTTCACTACTGCGCAGACTCGGGTCTCACGTTCACTACTGCGCAGAATCGGGTCTCACGTTCACTACTGCGCAGACTCGGGTCTCACGTTCACTACTGCGCAGAATCGGGTCCCGGGTTCACAACAGCGCAGAATCGGGTCTCACGTTCACTACTGCGCAGAATCGGGTCTCACGTTCACTACTGCGCAGAATCGGGTCCCGCGTTCACTACTGCGCAGAATCGGGTCTCACGTTCACTACTGCGCAGACTCGGGTCTCACGTTCACTACTGCGCAGAATCGGGTCTCACGTTCACTACTGCGCAGACTCGGGTCTCACGTTCACTACTGCGCAGACTCGGGTCTCACGTTCACTACTGCGCAGAATCGGGTCCCGCGTTCACTACTGCGCAGAATCGGGTCTCACGTTCACTACTGCGCAGAATCGGGTCTCACGTTCACTACTGCGCAGAATCGGGTCCCGGGTTCACAACAGCGCAGAATCGGGTCTCACGTTCACTACTGCGCAGAATCGGGTCTCACGTTCACTACTGCGCAGAATCGGGTCCCGGGTTCACAACAGCGCAGAATCGGGTCCCGCGTTCACTACTGCGCAGAATCGGGTCTCACGTTCACTACTGCGCAGAATCGGGTCCCGCGTTCACTACTGCGCAGACTCGGGTCTCACGTTCACTACTGCGCAGAATCGGGTGCCGCGTTCACTACTGCGCAGACTCGGGTCCCGCGTTCACTACTGCGCAGACTTGGGCCCCATGATTCACTACTGTGCAGACTCGGGTCCCGCATTCACTACTGCGTTCACTACTCCGCACTACTGCACAGACTTGGGACCAGCGTTCACTACTGCGCAGACTCGTGTCCTGCGTTCACTACTGCGCAGAATCGGGTCCCGGGTTCACTACTGCGCAGACTCGGGTCCCGCATTCACTACTGCGCAGACTCGGGTCCCGCGTTCACTACCGCGTTCACTACTCCGCACTACTGCGCAGACTCGGGTCCCGCGTTCACTACTGCGCAGACTCGGGTCCCGCGTGAATGATCACTTACAGTCCCTCACTTTCTGCCTATGGACCCTTTTCACATTTCTTGGGTTCTCAAAAGCAGTCGTCATAGTTGAATGAACTTCTAAAGTGGCGACGACATCTTTGTGTTCCCATTTTCTCCAATAGCAAAAGAAACAAAATCCATGATAGTGTTTCCACGACTTTCCAAAGGAGGGAACCAAATATTGAGAAATATGTCAAATTTGCTGTCACTCCCTCAGCCTTTGTATAAATATATAACAAAGTATAGCATTATAATGTGTTTTTTTTTTATGAAAACATGAAACACTTATTTGTTTTGTGATGTTAAGTGTGGAAACAAATCATCACAGTCTGTGAAAAGGGTCCATATCATTCTCATTCTCTCTCTCTGTACGTTCTTGTTTTCTCGCATTATGTTCCTCTGTGATCGATATTACAATGTGTTGATGATGCTCTAAAGACACCACAACTCAGATTTATGCTTCCCCCACACACACACATCTCTTCTTGATTCAAAACCTCTCGATGCAGGAACAGAGTGTGTAGGAAGCAAAAGATCAATAGATTGATGCACACATACTACGTAATAAACACCCCCATGACATTTATAGCGCTGTCCTGTAACAGTAGGAAGGGGGCAGAGATATAATACGGTTCTAATGAAGTCAGTGCTGAATTAAGTGTGTTCTTACCCTGCTCCTGTCGTACTCTTTCCTGGAGGCAGCGAACAGTTGGGCGTTTGAGATGGCAATGCCACAGAAGGGAAGGTACATCTGCAACACCTGCACAGACAGAAGAGTGTGTTGAAGTGTAGCATCAATGTGAGTCTATGGTGTCCTGGACAAACACTGGAACAACAGTCTCCAAAACCCAAAGTGGTTTCAGCCTAGCAAAGGACTATACCAGTATTTACAGTAAAATTATGTCAATTTATGAATTAAGTTAATATTAAGTTGGTCTTTATATAATAATCTTTTTTCTTTGTATGAATGAAAATCTCTCTGAGTGGCAACAATTTGTTTGTATTTACATATACAAATCTAACTCAGCCACTATCTCCCGTGGTGTACCTCACGGATCGGTTCTTGGTCCACTTCTATTTTTAATTTGCATGCTTCATCTTGGCCAGATCATTGAATGTCATGTTTTAATTTTTATAGTTATGCCGACGATACACACATTTATTTTACTATCCAATCCAATTCAGTCTTCCCTCCCCCATCCATCATTTCTTGCTTGGTAGAAAACGTACTCGGTTACTAAGTAGATGTGCTATTTCGTGTTTCACCGTACTTTCGTCCCTGGCTCGAAAGCGTGGGGGTCTGCGAGCGAACTGCAGCGAATAGCCTCTCGTTATAGTGTTCAGCACCCATTGTGACACGCCCGGGATCATCTCCCATGCTTTCAAACACAAAGCTAGAGGGAGAATGGCATTCGGCCTCTGGCCGCTGTGTCTGTGTGATATACAGCGTGCAGCGTCTGCCAGAGGGCGCGCGCTCTCTGCACACAGAACACACTTCGTGTTTATTAGCAAAGACTCTGAGTGAGCAGTGTGACAGGACAAACAGTGTTTAAGAGTAGGGGCGAGCACTGTACAGTGGGCGCATTTCCTACATTCAAAACACACGCAGGGTGAGCCGGTTTTATTGATATGGGCCGTGAATGAGTGTGTGTCACTGAGCGGGCCATGCGTATGTGTAGGTGTGGGCACTGGGAAGTGGGCACAATTCCTACATTCATAACACCCTTGGCGTGAGCCAGACAAACAGACATAATGTTCTTTTTGAGATTTATCTGGGTAGCCGTGAAAACGGCTTTTGAGTACAGGCTTCGTAATGAGGCGGAGCAGTTCGGCATCGAAGCTGGCCCGCACGCCGCTTAACTCCTGCAGGGTTCCGGATCGGGGCCCGACCATCCTTCGCTCTCTGAAGCGACGAGGGAACAGGCGTCCTCAGCCACGTTGTCCCCTTCAGACTCAAGATGCAAAGGCGGGAGCGGTGGGGTGCTGGCCGGCCGTGATCGAGGCGGTGGAAACGCATTTAGAAAAACGAGGCATTATAACGCCTCGGCTCTTTTAGGAGAAATAGAGTGAAAAGGATATAGGCGCCGGATAGCGCAGCAGGAACGACGGTGAAGCGGCGAGAAAATGCGGCTTCTGGTCTTCGAGGCAGATGGCTCGTCCCGCTGTTAGGGCTTTTCAATGGCGCAGGCTTCTCTGGAGACCAGCGATGTGAAGTAAACACTTCGCTGAAGAGATGAAAAACAAAGAACACCCTATCTGGACTCTGCTTATATAGACATAAGCCACGCCCTTTCTGGCGGGACATGATGTGCGCGGGCGCCCGCGCCCTCATTGGTGCTTACGTCACGTACAGTCCCTCGATGGGTTGCAGCAGTAGCTGCAGAGCAACTAATGGTGTGTTCACACCGAACGCGAATTTAATTATTTGGGCGAGTAGATTACATACAAAGTCAATGCAAAGACGCGAATAGACGCATCATTCGCACCGGGCGTTGCGAATGACGCGAATTGGGCGACGCGTTTGCCGCGAATGTCTTCCGCGCAAGTTGAAAAATGTGAACTCGAGCGAATGTTCAAGCGTCTAACTAAACGCGATAGACGCGTATTTGACGCTCTATTCGCGTTCGGTGTGAACACACCATAATAGGCGCGTGAGCTGCCTTGCCTAGGTCTGCTCTGTGCAGTAATGCGTTTTAAATTAATGCAAAATTAAGGATAATTTTTTGGCTTCAGTATTCTCGAGAAAAGGGATTTTCCCAAAGCGTAAGGTAGCTTACGCAACACGAGAGTACTCTCGTAAGAGAACTTCCTGAAACTGAATGCTGACAAAACTGAAATTCTGCGAGTTGGCCCCAAATCGCTTTGCTCCTCCATATTGATGGAGTCCTGGTTAGGCATTCACCAACTGTTCGGGATCTGGGAGTTCTGTTTGATTCAAAATTTTGTTTTGAACAGCCATATCAGCCAGCTTGTTAAATTTAGTTTTTTCAACCTTTACAATATTGTTCGCATACATCCTTCAATTAACCATAAAGATGCTGAAACTGTTTTTCACACTTTCATAACCTCTAAATTGGACTATTGTAAATCCTTGTTTAGAGGCCTTCCAGCTAAAGTCCATAATCGCCTAAATGGTACAAAACTCTGTTGCCTCTGCCCTTAAATTTAACAAAAAATCTGCTCACATCACTCCGATCCTTCACCAATTACACTGGCTCTCTATTGCCTATCCCATTCAGTTCAAACTACTTGTCTTATTTTACAAGGCCTGCCATGGTTTAGCACCTTCATATCTTGCTGACTTAATTCAGCCTTAGGCGCCATTCACAAATAGCGCCTAAAAATGCGTAGAAAACACTGGGCGCGCCGCGTTCTCCTTTTTCCAGAGCGCTAGGGCGGTTGCGCTCCGGTTGGTTCTTGTCACGTGACCTACGGTGTGCTTGCGGCATTCTGAAAAGTTGAGATGTTTTTATCTCGATGCGGCGCTTGTTTCCTCACTCGCCACTGTGTTTTTAAAGGTCTGAGATCTCCTCTAGCTCTCCCAATGCCAAACACACACTCAGACTGCTGTCAGAATGACAAAAACACACTCATATTTCTCTTGTAGGGAGCCTATGAGAGAAATGAGTGTAGTCATAATGTTGAGAATAAACAGGTTCATATTAAAATTCTGTCAGGAACCACATCAAAACCTGCCTCAGGACAAGTCAGCGTGACACCACAGAGAGGCCTGGATGAATCTGTCAGTCCTGGAGTCACAGAGAGCGCAGGTAAATGGGGTACTGGAGTAATTGGATTCTGTCTGACTGCGCATTAGTCTGGGCTGCATGGGGGACTGCTGCATTGAGTCTGTTTACCACAGTGTTAAAGCGTTTAATAAAGAGTGGATGTGACCTGAACCTGTGGGAGCGATCAACAGCTTCTCACAGCACGCTTTCCTCAGTTTAAACAGTTAAGCTAATGAAACGAGAGAATTGAGCTCCTTCACATGGAAACACACAACATTATACAAGTTATGACTGAACTAGTTCATTACTGCTTCATTCCACTGTGGGCCTTCTAAGCAAAGTATTGTTGCAGGTTTTGTTCCTAAACTTCTTTATCACTGTAGTCTACTTATGTTTCTGCACCATAATTTAGTTTCTCATGATCATTTTGCACCCGCTATACCTTTAAGAGTTCTATGTAAATGACCTTTGATATGATTGGCTAACCTCTTTACATGTAAACTGAATAACAATGTGCACTTTGAGGTTGTGGGTTAGCTGACGGGTCCAAAATAGTTTTTGAATGTACTATACATCCTTAAACCGCGTCTCTGCAAAGCTTCAATTACATTGTGACAGGATCACAAAACAATCAGCGCTGAAATGAAACACTCAAACTGTCATGATCAGACTGATAGACTCAGACATCAGCCACTTTTTTGTGATTCTTTAGAAGGATCTGCAAAGCAGCAGTTGCAACACAAAGGTTTTGAAGAGAACCAGCAGAGAACTTTTATATTGCGGTATATACAAAAGTTCAAGTTTGGTGAACTTTGACCTATGGATTTGTCAAATAAGGAGATGAGTGACCAATAGAGGATCTTAACGTCACAGACTGAGCTCTTGGCTGAGTTAAATCAATGTAGTACACTTGAAGGAAGCAACAAGCGTGTGATTCTTTTGTGTTCTTTATTCCGCCAGCACCATTTGCACGATGATTCACACATCCAGTCACAGCTACAGCTCGGTAAAGTGAACGACTACTAACCCTTCTTTTCTTCTCTTCTAGGTCTACTCTGAGGGTTCAATGTCTTCAGGGTTACTTTCCCTATGTGTGTGCTGTAATACGACAGGGGTTGCCCTTATACGTCATACTCCAGGATTCCCCAACAACTCTTAAATGTGAAAAATACTTAACATGGCTTAATGGACTAATACAAGACTTATTATTATTGTATAAACATTATTGGAGGTGCATACTATATTCATGTAAGCAGATGCACTCAGAAAATCAACATAATGCGCAAGGTTTCAAGTTTCCCTCCTATAGAAACCAGTTATAAAGAAAACGCTTAACATGTCTTAGACTAATAAAGTAATAAAGATCAAACTCAGTTTACACTTTATTGATGTACAATATATACACACTATATACTGTACTTTATACAACAAGCAGATGAGCACAGAAAGTGCTTTGCTAGAAAATCATTAAATCGATGCCAAAAGAAAGCTTACATTGGCCTAATGCATATAGGTGTAGCATATCCACTGAAGTTAAGTTGTAGAGAGAACCCAAGTGCAGTTTATTTATAAATATAACAAGATCAAACATAAAACAAAAGCATGGAGTGGCATGAACTCAAAACAAAAGCATGGCGTTGCATGAACTTAGAGCAAAACATAAACGTGGACATGGACGTGGAGCTTACCAAACAGTGGTACAGTGGAACAATACTTGACAAAGGCACATGGCTAACATGAGGGCTTAAAATACACTGACTAATTACAAGACAAGGGACACCTGTGAACAATGAACCAATGACAATATGACACATCAGACAAGGGAACACATGGCCGGATCACATGACTTTGAACAGGGGATCACATGACAGACATGAAACGTGACCAAGACAAGACCTAATCGTGACATATCCCCCCCTCTAAGGGCGGCTCCCGACGCCCAACAAAACCCCAAAAAAACATAAGTCAAGGAGGGTGGTTGAGCGGAGGAGGTCTTGGGGGAGGAATGGTGGGCCAGGCCCATGCAGGGGGA